AAAAAAAAAAAGATTACTTTAGAGTTGCACCACATGACATTTCTCGAGTTATTAAATTTATATATTTTTTTTTGATTTTTCAAAACCATTTCTAAGAACTTGACGCGTGCAAAATAAGTCGAAACAACTGCAGTAAAATTGTCGTAATGGTAGTTTAAGGCAGAGACACCATAGTAATAATATCATGGAGTATTTGCATTACAGAGTTCACTGTGTGGATACCAAATCCGAATGGAGAACCGCTCAGGGGACGCCACACGACTGCTGTACTGCACCACTGGAGTTCTGCTGTGCAAACTACAGCAGGACCGGCTCCTCAGCTCCCTCACACACATCGTGGACGAGGTGATGCTCACATATATCTATGAATATACACAGTGTACGCTTAACACTAGACCGTTTAACCCCAAAATAGTCTCAATATTGTAGGTTCATGAGCGGAGCGTCCAGTCAGATTTTCTCCTCACCGTACTAAAAGAAGTGGTTCATAAGAGCTCAGATCTGCATTTGATATTGATGAGCGCTACAGTCGACTGTCAAAAGTTTGCCAACTACTTCATCCGCTGTCCTGTGGTCACCATACCTGGCAGAACTTTCCCTGTGGAGGCAAGATTATATCTAAATATATACTAACATACTGTAGCATTAGTAATTTGATGAAAATTTTGTATATGCATCATTTATTTTATGTTATAAATTATTTTATTTTGTGTAATGTTTTACAAATAAGCAAAAGTAATGACAAATTGTGGTGGTAGGTGTTTCACCTGGAGGATATTGTGGAGGAGACGGGTTACATTCTGGAGCAGGACTCAGAGTACAGTCAGAAGTATGTGGAGGAGGAAGAGGAGGTCAGCATCAACATCACACAGAAAGGAGGAAAGACTCTTCAGCACCAGGTTGGGACAAAAATCCGGAAGAATTTCATCAATTCCAGAAGAATCTGTCTATCTGTATCTTACATTAGTTAGCATGCGTAAGGCTGTTCTGTGGTGTTTCATTGCAGGCTTCTATTGTTTTGTAAATGTTTGTTCTGTTATTGTGTTCAGGAGCCGATCGTGAGGGACTCTGGCTCAGGCTGGGATCTGAGCCCTGAGCTGGATCACTTCAGCAACCGGACGCGACACGTCCTGCAGTATATGAACCCCAATAAGATAAATATGGATCTGATATTAGACCTACTGGAATACCTGGGTAATATACATACTGTACTGTAAGCACAGAGTCAGCAATTATAGTGACTGAATATGTAGCTCATTAGGATCCGTACTGTATTATTAGTAGTGTTTGCTAATGCAAACAGCACTCATATTTTCCTCAAAGAAATCTACTTTTCAATGGTTTTAACGAGTAAATGAAGTATCTCTGGTTCTTTTTCTCAGATAAATCACCTCAGTTTCGTGATGTGGATGGTGCGGTTCTGATCTTCCTCCCAGGCCTGGCTCATATTCAACAGCTGTATGATCTACTGACCACCGACAAGAGGTTCAGCTCAAAGGACAGGTAACTCCAGCCTAAATTTACTTTAAAGGAATAGTTCACCCAAAAAAAGAAAATGTATACTCAGGCCATCCAAGATGTAGATGAGTTTGTTTCTTCATCAGAACAGTTTTGGGAAATGTAGCATTACATCACTTGCTCACCACTGGATGCTCTGCAGTGAATGGGTGCCGTCAGAATGGGAGTCCAAACAGCTGAGAAAAACATCACAATAATCCAGAAGCAAACCACGACTCCAATCCATCAGTGAACGTCTTGTGTAGTGAAAAGCTACGTGTTTGTAAGAAACAAATCCATCATTAAGACATTTTTAACTTCAAACTGTTGCCTCTGGCTAAAATATGATTCCTCTATAATTTTGCTTTCTCCAGGGAAAAAGTCGTCTCATCTGAATCAGGAAAGAAATCTGCACAGACCAAGCACCGTTTACATTATAAAACCGTCCAGAACAGTTCTGATCAAATATGTGTGTGGATTTTGATGTGAGAGGACAATGGGGGATGGACTTTCACACTGGAGGAAGCGATAAAGCGATTATTATGGATAAAGGACTGGTTAAAATGCTTTAATGATGGATTTGTTTGTGGAAAAGTTAGCATATCACTCCTGTATTAAGAGAACTACACTGGCTGCCGGTTTCTTATAGGATTGATTTTAATATATTATTATATGTTTTTAAAGCCTTACATGGTACAGCTCCATCAAATATAGCCGATCTGATCCAGTTGAAGAAACGTTACGTTCTGAGCGAGTCATTGAATCTCTTAGTGGTTCCACGGATGTACCGGAAAACGAGAGGAGAGCGCTCCTAGGCTGTGGAATGGTTTACCTCGTTATATCCAGTAGTGCTCCACTCTTAGAGAGTTTAAACGACATTTAAAATCGTATTTTTTTTATTGTGGCGTAGAAGATGCCGTATTTAAGTTGACAAGAACAAAAAGTTCTGAGGGACACAAATACCCTTTTTTTAGCTGGCAAAACATTGAAAATTCATATTTTATAATTGATAATCTTCAAACTGAATACGGCATAAAGCTTTTTAAATTAATTTTTTATTGTGTTTGCTTCTAGATATAAACTGGTTGCCCTCCACTCCACACTGTCATCTCAGGACCAGTCTTCTGCATTTACACTGCCACCTCCTGGAATGAGAAAGGTACTGCAATATATTAGTGTTAATATGGCTTCATTTAGAATAGCATACTACATACAGGGATTAAAGTTCCGTAGCTACCATGGACTTCCGTCAGTTCATAAAGCCAGTCACTTGCTTCATTCCTGAATGATTCAGCCGTTCGAACGAATCAATTGAATGAATGATTCAGTGATAAAATCAGTGACTTGCCTCCACCTGCTGGCGGATTTAGTTTCATTTTTTAAATAAATAACTTATATAAGTTATTAAATAACTTATAATTTCAGTTATTTAAATCATATTTCTGTATTCAAAATTTATATTTAAAACATTAATCTCCACATGAATTTATGAATTTAATTGCAATCATGCTACAGCTGAGCCTCATTAAACGACACGTTTGTGTTCTTCTGTGCCACCTCTGTAGTACAAATTAATTTATTAATACTAATTTCATATGATTGGTAACTTATTTTATTTAGGCATGAGTGCAATTAAATTAATGTGGAGATTAATGTTTTAAATATAAAATTGAATACAGAAATATGATTCAAATAACTGAAATTATAAGCTAAAAATTAAACTAAATCCGCCAGCAGGTGGCGGCAAGTCACTGATTTTATCACTGAATCATTCATTCAATTGATTTGTTCGAACAGCTGAATCATTCAGGAATTTATGAACTGACGGAAATCCGTCGTAGCGATGGAACTTTAATCCCTTTACATACTACTCTTACTATTTCTGCAGTATGTAATATGTATATTCATATTCTCTTGAAGATTGTTCTGTCCACAAACATTGCTGAGACTGGTGTCACCATTCCTGATGTGGTCTTCCTCATCGACACAGGAAAAACTAAAGAGAATCGGTGAGCCGGGCCAGATAATGTCTGAAATGTTATCTGTCTATGATCTGATGCTTTTGAATGTTAGCGTTGACCTTCTGTTTCTGGTTTCAGGTATCATGAAAGCAGTCAGATGAGCTCTCTGGTGGAGACGTTTGTGAGTAAAGCCAGCGCTTTGCAGAGACAGGGGAGGGTTAGTGAGATTTTTTTTACTGTTTTTGCAAGGGGTCTCTTATGCTCACCAAGGCTGTATTTATTTGATCAAAAACAGTAAAAAGCAGTAATATTGTGAAATACTACTACAATTTAAAATTACTCTTTTCTATTTGAATATATATTCAAATGCAATTTATTCCTGTGATCAAAGCTGAATTTTCAGCATCATTCCTCCAGTCTTCAGTGTCACATGATTCTTCAGAAATCATTCTAATATACTGATTTGCTGCTCCGTAACCATTTCTGATTATTATCAAAGTTGTGCTTCATATTTGTGTGAAAATCGTGATCATTTTTTCAGGATTCTCTGTTCAAAAGAATAGCATTCACTTGAAATATAAATATTTTTTAATATTATTAAAGCATTTGCTGTCACTTTTAATCAATTTAACAAATGTAACCCTCTGGGCCTCTTTGGTAATTTTTGACCGAAATATTTTATATTTTGAAATTTTAAATATCGTAGCTACATCAGAATGAGATGACACTTGGTGACTTTTGTTGCATTAACTATGTGAACACACACAAAAAAATCATGGACATGATTCGGGTATGTTAAAGGGTCAACAAAAAAAAAAAGTCACACTTGGCTCCTTCCTGGTCAAAAATGACCGACATAGGAAATTAATGGGAAATACTAAAAAATACAACTTGGAGAATATTTTGGTGGTACAAACTACAAATTAGCCACTGTGCAGAAAAAAAGTGCACAGCAATCAAGGGGGTAACACTCTAAAATATAAAGAGTGCAAAATAGACATGCACACACACACAGGTTTGTTTTTGTGAATTGTGGGGACATTCCATAGGCGTAATGGTTTTTATACTGTACAAACTGTATGTGCTATTGCCCTACACCAACCCTACCTCTTACAGGAAACTTTATGTATTTTTACTTTCTCAAAAAAAACTCACTCTGTATGATTTATAAGTGTTTTGAAAAATGGGGATCTGGGGTAATGTCCTCATAAGTCACCTTCTCCTTGTAATATCTATGTCATACCCATGTCATTATACAAATTTGTGTCCTCATATATCACAAAAACGCACACACACATACAATGTTTGATTGTAATCATAATGCAAAACCTGATATTTATCTAACCAAAAATATCTAAACTTTTAGAATGTCTAAATGTATATCTAAAAGCAAAACCTAATAATTGTACCCCCAAAACCCCCAATTGTAAGTCGCTTTGGATAAAAGCGTCTGCTAAATGACTAAATGTAAATGTAAATGTAATAAAATTAAGAAATTATGTCTAAAAAAAACAATGGAAATCCATTTATTGAAAAATAATAATTAAATGAGTAAAAGTTTATTCATTCTTTTGGGGAAAAAATAGCTAATTAAAACGGTATAAATATTGCATAATATCTTAAAATCCCCTCAAAATTCTAAATAATAATCAAAAAATATTATTGAACAAAAATGTATTAATTGATTTCCTGAAAAAAAAAAAAAGAAGTTACATTTCAAGGCTTCGGTCACTTTTGACCGCGATGGAGCCAAGTGTGACTCCCAAACGAAGAGGACCAGAGGATTAAAAAAAAGTCTGACCCCAAACTTTTGAATGTTAGTGTACATAAAGCATCTTTTTCCATTGGTAATAAACTGACTTCTGTCACCTCTCTCTCTATGTGTGAACAGAAGTGTGAATATGGTTCTCCAGAGGATTTCCTGTGTCGAGCTCTCGATGTGCCTCAGCAGCAGGCTGTGTGTAATGCTGTCAGTCTGCTGAGGAAGATCGGCGCCTGCAAGCAAGATAGCTACGCCCTCACGCCACTCGGCCATCACTTGGCCGCCCTTCCTGTCAATGTCAAGATCGGCAAAATGCTCATCTTTGGTGCCATCTTTGGCTGCCTGGAACACATTGTGAGCGTTTTTTGCCGCATGTTACTAAATTTCTGTCATCATTTCTCACCCTTGTGTCGTTCCAAGCATGCTGACTTTGTTTTTTTATATTATTAAGCCACCATCGCAGCGGCCATGTCTGAAAAGTCCCCCTTTGTTACTCCTATGAGCAGAAAGGAGGAGGCCAACCTGGCTAAATCTGCTCTAGCAGTCGCAAACTCAGATCATATGACCATCTGCAGTGCTTACCTTGGGTAATCACTCGTTCAACAGAACAGCACTGTATGGCGGTATGTGTAGAAAGGAAGTGAAATCATGGGAATGAAGTTACTGTTCACAGGTGGAAGAGCTCTTGGAGCGAGGGACCGCGTGTTGAGGTGGCTTACTGCCGGAGACACTTCCTGAGCCGCACATCCTCTTACAGCTCCTAACACACTTGCTGATTCATTAGCAGTCATGATGATTTGACGAATGTACGTCTGTTCTGCTAAAACTTGCATTGGTTGAGCTGCGTGTGTGCGGATAGGATTTAAAATGTTTATTTTTAGGGGTAATGATAAATTGAAGACAACAAGAGAAGGAGAAATCTTTAAAAAAAAAAGTCGTTTAAAACACAAGTGCCATGTTTTAAAATTGTATTCTTGTTGGTTTCATACATTTTTTAAATACGTTTATATGATTTATACCAACAATTTTAGATTCATGTCTCTAAAATGTAATGTGGACTAACCATTATTATACAGTTATTGCAGTATAATTTATATACTTCAGATTTAGTAGTTTTGTTGCATGCTTTTTGTAATTTTTATCATTTTTTTAATCTTCAATTTATTTTGATTTTAGTTTTAGTAATTTGGTACATGAACAAACTTATTTATTTGCATTTTCAATTTTCTTATATTTATATTTTATTTTATATTTCTTTCACTTACCTAAAACATTTTTTTTTGTTATTTTAGTTAATAATAGCGACAGTTATCCATCACTTTAAAGGTAATACAATTTAAAATACTAAAATAATAAAAGATTATACCTTACACGTTTTTGAATCATTAATATAATCAAGTTGTAGTCTTTGTTGTTCTCATAGATTTTTGAAAAACAAAACAAAAAATCGGATTAATGTCGCTAAAATGTCATGTGGTGTAACCATCCAGTGTTATTATAGTATTATTTATATATTTAAGAATTTGTGTGTGTATATATATATATATTACAATTATAAAGACTGTATACAGTGGGGCAAAAAAGTATTTAGTCAGCCACCAATTGTGCAAGTTCTCCCACTTAAAAAGATGAGAGAGGCCTGTAATTTTCATCATAGGTATACCTCAACTATGAGAGACAAAATGAGAAAAAAAATCCAGAAAATCTTCTTATTACCCTGATCATTCATACATTTGTGATTTGAACCACTGTTTTCTTGTCTTGCCTGCAGGTGAAATACATGAAGGTGTTTCTAAGAGACACTACATTGATCTCTCCTTTAGCCATGCTGCTGTTCGGAGGTGATATTGACGTGCAGCACAGGGAGAGACTTGTCTCTCTGGATGGATGGATCTATTTCCAGGTGAGGGAAAGTTTTTGAATGCGTGTCTTGTTTCTCATTGGTTATCTATGCATGGTTGTTTGCATGATTTGCATTGAACGCTTCATTGGCAGGAGCACTGGTGCATCATAAAATGGTTGTCAAACTTTCATTTCCCATCAGGCTCCAGTCAGAATTGGCGTGATCTTCAAACACCTTTGCAAACTGGTCGACTCCCTCCTGGAGAGGAAATTGGCCAACCCCAAAATTAATTTGGAAGGTAACTTATTGTTGAATAAATCTATATTATATTTATTTTATTTTGATTTCTTATTTTATTTTATCATTATATATTTGTAGAATTTTATTTCATCATTATATATTTGTAGAATAAGGGTGCAGTTTTTCTGCTGTGAACACATATGATGCCTTTTATGCTTATCCTTTTCAGATGAGAAAACCATACAAATAATCACAGAACTGATCAAGTCAGAAAACATGCTCTGAGGAAGTGCCCGTTTGTGCTCAATCATGAATGACTGAAATGCTGACAAACCTCACTGAGGGGTGAGAATGTAAATTATATTGCCAAACCAGAATAAAAATATTTTAAGACATTAAAATGGTATTAGTTAAATCCATTATCATAATAGACTGACAGTTGTTTTTGTTTTATTCCTTTAAGTCGGTAGGAATGCAGACGAACAATCTTGTGGTTATAATGTAATTGTTTTGTTATTGATAGAAGTGAATGCAATATCAAATTATGGTCTTGTAAATGTAACATTATATATAACTGGTTAAGATTCATGTCTCAAGTTTGACGTATAATTATTACCGATGAATGAACTTGGGTAATTTCCCTGACACAGTGGGCTTTGAGAATGGAATTTTATTCATATTATTTAGAACAAAAAAGGGCCTAAAAAAGCATTATGTCTTTTAGTGTAATAATGGTAATCTGATACTCTTTTAAAGGGGTCATAGAATGCAATTAAAATTTTTCCTTTGTCTTTGGAGTGTTACAAGCTCTTGGTGCATAAAGAAGATCTGTAAAGTTGCAAAATTGAGTAACATGATTTATGGTTCCAAATGAATGTCTGTCTGTTCTAAAAGCCTATAGAACTGAATAATCTATAACTACATTAGTGTACTTCCTGACAAACCTATCAACAACATAGTTGTTTCCAGCAGGGAAAGGTCTTCAACCACAAAGTGATCAGTGCTTCACCACTAGACTAGACTAGACGAATAGAATAGAAAGGCCAGGTGGAAACTGTTGACAATGTAAAATGTTGCCGACATTAGGAATATTAAAAGAAATGTGCATCCTAAAACTTTATTCTCTTGTGACATTGCACTACGGAATGCTGTAAGAACGCGGAGTTGTTCTCTGAACACAAAAAGCTATAGATCACTTGTGAATTATTAATATGCCATTGAAACTGAAACTGCTTGGCTTTTCTAAAAAAAAAAGCTTCTTAGAAGTTAGTCAGTGTTTTTTTTCTTAGTCACAATTGTAACCAGTGGGAAACTACAGTCAACACATGCTCAATTTCTCAACAATAACCAAATCAATCTAGCTGTACACACTAAAGTTACATAATATATTTTAAAAGCCAATTGTTTGTTAAACAGAAATGTATATTTCTTTTACATTTGACTTTGTTTTCATTTAATGTAACAAAACAGACCATTTTTCAAAGAGGTAAACTGGAATTAAATAGCTTTATTCATGTAAAAACTCCCAAGTTTCTCACAAATGTAACCCGTGGGATTAAGTGAGTTAAAAACATTTTAGAGAACACACTGCAGCTGCGGATATCCACATAAAAAAATGTCCTATGAGACATCATTATCGACCACTTCTCTTTTTGGTGCGTTATATTGCTTATTGACTCAGAAATGATTATCTTGCCTAAGCAAGTGTCGTTCAGACCACAGTTTGTCAGTGCATCCCTATACTTGTAATTCAAATAACGGAGCAATCTATCCAGATTATGCTGCATGTGGTCCGATACATTGTTTCTTATGAAAATGCATGAGTGTGATAATGATTCTTCACTTGTTCAGGTATGCAAATTGAATGACTGTGAATGAGTTCATTCTGTGCATGATGTTTTGAGGGCACATGTTTGACTAGATCACCATGTGAATTACATTATATCTGATGCTCACATACTTCACTAACTGTATTAGTGAGTAATAATCATGTGTCTCTCTCTGCAGCTTCATGCCACACTCAGGAGAAAGCAAGAGGAAATATCTGCCCTGAAGGAGACAAATGCCCAGCTGAGAAATCTGGCTAAGCAGACTGAACATTACGTCACAATACTAGATGTAAAGCATTATTTCAGAAAATAATCAAGTGAATACATCAGAATTCCTTATATCCACATCTCACAGTTCTGACCTCTTCTCAGAATAGTTTATACTTGAGAAAAACTCAGAATTGCTAGGAGAACCTTTTTTTTTTTTTTTTTTTTACCTTTTTATTAATCTTAGTAACCGGCTTCCATAGATTACAGAGATTATGAAAAAACAAATTCCAGGATTTGAAATCCCAACATAAATTCAAAAATGTAACTTCTTACTGCACATTCCTGGCCTTGTGAACGCTTCACCTGTGCATGTTATTCCAATGAAAAAAAAAAAAAGATTGTCTTTGCTCCATTACAGTATGTAACACTCACTTTCACCATTCGGTTAATTCCCAACCGTTTTTTCTAATGAATATCCTGTTTCACCCTGAAATTCGCCATATTTTGAAATAAAATGCATTGTGAACAGCATTTAACTTTTTTATTTTTTCATCAAATATATAATTTTTATATTTATATAGATTAAACAGTTTATGGGTGAAATGGGAATTATTTGCAGGTTTCGCATTATAAATATTACTATATCTTTGATATTAGAATTGAGACATAAACGCTGAATTGACCATTCAGAAGTCAGGACTGCAACTATCTGTTTTATAAACTATTACATTACACATAAATCTGTGAAACTTCAGCAGAGGGCAGTAAGACCTCCACATTTTCAGTGTCACACCCTCGAATGACCGTTTGCCAATTCCACTTCCTGTCTACTAGGTCCTGACAACATCGTTCCAGAGGGACTCAGTATCTCGCCGCACTCCTGTGAGGCCAACAGAGGATCATTCTTCTGAACACTCCTGGATCTCTCTGCTGACAGAGGAAGAGCCATCGGATCCATCTTGCACAGCTTTAACTAACTCCACCACTGACACAGAAAGGCCGACATCAGGGCTCAAGCGGCGGCTGTGGTCCAGCTGGAATGACCTTCTGTGTGAAGAAGCTGAGGACACCAGCTTGAACCGTCCATCAGGTTCCAAGCAGCCCAGGCTTGAAAATTAACTTGGACAGGTAGACTTGGAGCATCTGAAGGCCCAGCTGGACCAGGATCAACAGAGAAGATTCAGGCCTGACTCAGAATCAAAGCCTTGAGATGTCCTCTGAAGGTTTGATCGCACAGTTTGTGAACATATTTGGGGCGTTCCATGGCCTTCAGGTGATTACAGAAACCCCTTCCGTCATATCTGATCTGAACATGAGTGGAGATGATGGAAAAGTGTGCTTTAAAGGGATAGTTCATCCAAAAATGAAAATGTGATGTTTATCTGCTTACCCCCAGGGCATCCAAGATGTAGGTGACTTTGTTTCTTCAGCAGAACACATATGATGATTTTTAACTTTAACCGTTGCAGTCTATCAGTCGTATAATGCATGGCAATGGTAACAAAATCGATGAGAGTAAAAGAAAACATGCACAGATGTGCATGGCATCCGGTGCGTGAGGTGTGTACGCGCTCTGGCGTAGTTTACACAAGCGCCGGAAGTGATCTCTCGCGCGTATACGTCACTCATTGTCTACACAGTGCACAGTCATTGTAGGTTCGACAGCTAATCAAGATGGTACTTGCGCTTATGCGGATTGTTCAAACCGACTTAAAACTAAAAGATTACGTTCTCTCGCTCTTGGAAATGGTTTTCTCTAAACGACTTAAATGGGCACTCCTCAACAGAGGGATAAAGCTGACATACCACAATGTTTATCACAGGACAAGGAAATCAAATCATATATACATTTATTGAAGCAGTATATCCAGTGATGCAGGACTGTACATTGACAGTGTGCAGAATTTTACACTAGAACTAAATTATATCTTTATGGCCTTTATAAAGCTGATTTAAAAGCGAAGCGTGTCATTTCTAGACAACTAACTACACCAAACAATTTAAAATTTAATGACTATATACATATATATATATATATATAGTCCTCTCTTGTTTTCCATTGGTTGGCCAAATGGGTAGCCCCACCCCCAAACTCACCTCATTGGTTGAGCCCAAACACACTGCAATTCCATTTGGTGCCACTAGTGGTGCAAAATTGTACATTTCTCCTTTAAATTTCTTAATCTATACAATCTTTTCGATCAAAAGTCGATCTTTTTTTACAGTAAATAAAATACAAATATTTATACAATGATGTTTTGTTGACGTCATCAGTGTAGTGAGAACTTCAGGATTTGACTTTTATGACTATGTGTAACAGTGTCAAAGCTCACGGTGTTTGCAAGGGTGGATTTTAGGTTAGCAAGTTAATGATTGTGACGAGTGGGGTGGGCCGAGAGCTGTGACCCAAGTGATAATGAGCATCACCAGCCTCGCTCTGTTCCCACAGCTCTCGGTCCCGCCCCACTCGTCGCAACCATGTTTTTTTATTAAGAGACAAGTACACCCTTCATGCCAGGCTACAATATATTCTCACCACATGGTATGAGGAAGCTGGCAAAAAAAAAAAAGTCACTAATGCCTTCACTATATTCCCATTGAGCAGCAGAAGGGCTTGCAAAGACTGAAAAAGAAAAAAAAATTATAATAACACACCATTTCCTGCATTCAAGGGCTTTATAAACAACATTATTAACTGTGTAATACTTGGACCAACATTAATATTACTGTTTGTAAATTGTACGTCAAGGTTACATTCCTGTGAGAATTCTTACCGAGTCACGATCTTATTAGTATCGTATTAGGCTGTACCCTGGCTCTGCTACGGTTGAGTATAAAGGATCACCTGAAGGATGAAAGATGCAACAAGAATTGAGAATTTAAAAAAAACATGCAGAAGAGAATGTACATCACATTGCTATATGCATATAATATGCAAAAAAAAAAAAAGTCACTAATGCCTTCACTATATTCCCATTGAGCAGCAGAAGGGCTTGCAAAGACTGAAAAAGAAAAAAAAATAATAATAACACACCATTTCCTGCATTCAAGGGCTTTATAAACAACATTATTAACTGTGTAATACTTGGACCAACATTAATATTACTGTTTGTAAATTGTACGTCAAGGTTACATTCCTGTGAGAATTCTTACCGAGTCACGATCTTATTAGTATCGTATTAGGCTGTACCCTGGCTCTGCTACGGTTGAGTATAAAGGATCACCTGAAGGATGAAAGATGCAACAAGAATTGAGAATAAAAAAAAAACATGCAGAAGAGAACGTACATCACATTGCTATATGCATATAATATTTTCATACTTCTTGCAGTTGGTGGTGGAGGTGCTGCTGCTCTCCTGAAATAATACACAGCAAGACGTAAGGTAATATTAAAGCTAATTTTATTAATCATATTTACATAAGAAATGAAATAAACTAATAATTGAATGGTAAATCTGCAAGGAGTGAGGGCTCACCTGCCAGCTGTGGGAAGTGAACGAGTGGGAACCGATCTCTGATTATTGTAGAAGTTTTCATATGGAACAGGTGCTGAGAAAAGATCAGTTTAATAAAGTTTGACCCGACATAAAATGTCATCAGACTCATATTTGAGTGGAACTCAAGACAGAAAGTTCATGCTGTTCTTTTCTTTACAACAGACCGTCAAGCTCTGATAAGAACAAAAAGGCAGCATAAAAGCAGGGTTATTATAGTTAAACTAAAAATGAAACCATTTAAAAAAAAAAAGCTGTTACTTCACTTTGACTGAAATAAAATACAAACATTTTTTTTTTTATTTCAGCTAAATGCCAAGGCAACATTTCTTGTTTTAATTTAGTTTAACTTGATGTACTAAAATACTAAAGCTGGAATAAAATTAATAAAAACTATTTATACATATATATATATATATATATATATATATATATATATATATATAAACTACTAAAAATGACTAAAACTTTCAAATGAAAATGGAAAATATAAAAATTAAAACTGATAAAAAATATTATTAAAAACTATAATATTATCTCAATGATGCTAAGATAACTCTGCATAAAAGTAGACCATATGACCCTTCAGAAGATACATGATAGGTTTTTTTTTTTGAAGAAAGACAGAAATGTAAAGCATTATTCATTGAAAATCACCCCCACTACCTCAAATCTCATTTGTGCGTGAGCATATTTTAGTTCGGAGTGGTCTAGGTTTGACATCAATGTCTTGTAATCAAACACAATGCATCAAATTGGAACATGTGGAATCATAAATGAGATTTTCAGTTAATAGTACCTTTGAACTTTTCATGGACAAAGTCATATGGACTCATTTTATGGAGCTTTTATGATGCTTTTTGTCGTTTCAGAAAAAAACCCCATTCATAATGAAATTAACTGAATTTTAATTTCTATTCAAATTAGATCTAAAAAGTTCACATAACAAAATGCACAGTAAAGGTGTGTTCACATCTGCAAAACTTTGCACTGTAAAGATCCATTGTCAGTAGTATTGCAATGTATGAAGCACAGCACACAAAAAAGGCACTTTCATACCAAGTAGCTTTCTGCTGGTCAATACTGTCGGTTCATGTGACCAGCTTCATGCAAGATCTGTGGGGAAATCTTTCGCCCTCATTCAGAATTTGTTGCAATGATTCCATTTGAAACGACTGGATTTCATCAGTGAACGTGGCCACACCTTAATGTGCTGTTGTGAAAACCTGCTGCTGAGAGTACCTGGTGGTTTGTCTCCAGTTCGTCTGAGGTTGATAAAATGCTCAATGTCTTCTTGAATGTTACATTGCTCCAGTGACTTCCTCACTTCCTCATAGAGCTGCGTGACACAGATACACATGGTGAGGTGGGTTCCATATGTAGGTCCTACCTGATGCCGCAGTCGGGTTACCTCATCGCTGGTGACACACTGCTGGGAGATAATGTAATGTCATTAAACATAAATGTAGTAATGTCATTAAACAGCTTGAAAGATCAAAGACAATTTTAAATATAACTCCAACTGGATTCGTCTGAAAGTAGAAAGTCATATACACCTAGGATGACTCGAAGGTGAGTAATTTGTGGGCTAATTTTCATTTTTGGGTGAAGTAACCCTTTAAGAAGCCTTAAGACTCAACATAAGAGTCATTCGATTGGGAATCAGACATTACTGAATGAGCAGTATGCTGTTGATTCACTAAGAAGAGCCGAATCATAAGACTCAATCGTTCGGGAATCATAATACACTGATTGAGCTGTATGCTTTTGATTCACTAAAGAGAACCAACTCATAAGACTCAATCAATCAGGAATCAGACTACACTGACAGAACTGTGCATTTTGCGCTGTAGATTTAGTAGCAGTGTTCAAAATGGCCAAATATCAGCGGATTAAGTCGCCTGAATTAACTGTATAAGTCTATCATTCATTTGTCTTAAAGCTCTTGCATTTATACATTGTGGAATTAGCGTAATTCAAAGAAACATAATAGCCAGATTTTTTTTTAAAGTGCATGCACGCATATATACAATATTCACAATATTTAATATTGCTTAGTTGTATATTGCTAATAGAATCCTCTTAAATATTAAATATATTGCCCAGTCCTAGTTAAAGTATATTATTATTATAAGTGAGAGTATTATTAGTGCGTCTGCTGACATTCTTACCGGCTTCCTCTGCCGTCTGCTTGGCTTGCTGTGTTTTGGCGTACAGCTTGAAGTATAAGAGAGTGACATTATTTATACAACAGAATGTCTTTGTACGGTCATTCACATCTTACAAGCATAATACATAATACAAACAGCTAAAGGGCTCTTCTCTCTTTTTACAGCAGTTCTCTAAAAATAGCTCTGTCTCTGAAGAGATGACGACTGATAGTTGACTCGCTACAAAAGGTTTATAGCCTTTCAACAGCTCCAGAGTCTTGTCCTCAGGGGATTACAGATACTTCCAACATTGCTGCCATGTTTTACAATGATTCACAGCGCTGTACATGCTCTGGCAGTCATCTGAACCCATGCGTGGCCTTCATGGTTTGTTTTGCATGCTGCTTTGCTGTACTAACTCATTTGCTTCCTCTCAAGAGACGCAGCTCAATGGAATTTAGGCCTGAATTTTTTGCTTTTCACTCAATTTGTAAAAGAAAGTTTTCCAGGTAAACATTATGTTCTATATATATATATATATATATATATATATACACACACATTGTTTCTCATTGTTCGCTGAAAAATTTGAATTCTGTCATCATTTACTCACCCTCAAGTTGTTCCAAACCTGTATGAGATTCTTTCTTCTGTTGAACACAAAAGAAGATATTTTGAAGAATGTTGGTAACCAAGCCATTGACTTCCATAGCTTGGAACAACTTGAGGATGACAGAATTTTTATTTTTGGGTGAACTATCCCTTCTACATCTGTCATTTTGTTTGTATTCGTTGTAAAAGCAGCTACAAAATGGTAAAACATATGCAAGAAAGGAATATGAATCAGAATTAATATGCAAATATAACAATGACGTAATCGACGTCAGTTACATTTTGATTCTACCATGGCATTCTAGAATGCTTGATTCGGATTGGCTGGAATGTGTGCTTTATTGCACGGATACTTCCAGTCAGGTTTAATCACCATTCTGTTCTGGCTACAACATAGCAAATAATCAAAAGTCAAGTCACCTTTTATTATCTACAGAAAGCACTCACTGTTTCTTTATCCTGTTTTCACACTCGCCCCCCCACACACACACAGATCTTATCAGCACTGCCCTGTAAACTGTAATCTTAAAGTTCTTAAAAAGTATGAAATTTACAAAATGTCTATATGCAAGTCAGTTTAGGCTGAATTCCTCATAGAAGTTTAATATTTAACAGTTTAGCATTTGGATCAAACTCTAACCAGATGAATATCAATACAGAGATATCTTGCTAACACTGTAAAAAGTGCCGTTAAAAGCAAAATGCATGAAGACCAGGAAAGAAAAGAGGCTTCTATATATGCACTACAGCAAAAAAAAAAAAAGTAAGTGAAAGCAAGATTCTTGCAGTGGTCATACAGGACAGAAAAAAAACAGATGCAATGTCAGTTTTACTTACGAACCTTTTCTTGCTGCTTGGAACTGCTAGTGGTAGCGTTTCTGTTCATATTCTGTTCTGCTTCCTCTTTATCTCGACACTTTTGCTCATAAGTCTTCTTCGCCTTAAAAAAAAACCATCCATTGACATTTAAAGTGTGACCAATACAACTTATGTCTAAATTTAACTATAATCTATATTCTGTATGAGCTATAAGAGATATGCCATTTATATTATACTGCATATAGAATCACACACTACTACACAACCGGCTAAAAGTGCACACAATTCACTGAATATTTCCCATGATATCAAAAACACTATAATCCAGAGATTAAGGCAGAACAATATAAGAGACATAACTGTAGATGATTATAATTCATTCATAGCTATTAACCTCTTTAATCACATTTATTTAAACGTATGAGCGGATACTGAAGAAAAAGCAACCAAGTGGCCAACTCCTTAAAAACATTTTGGTCACAACTTCAATTTGTATGATTTCATCATTTTGATGACTTTACTATTATTCTAAATGTGGAAAATTGTGGAAAAACATTTATTTCAGATAATTGGTACACAAATAAATTTGTTTCTACAAGAGTTGTATGCAACATCAGATGTGGTACTACAAAGTTTCAGTTCTTAACTAATAAATACTGCTGCATCATGGGAAACCTGTCCTTGGTGCTAATAAACTTAAAGAGGTCATATGATACTTTGATGATTGCTAAAAAGAACATTATTTTGTGTATTTGGTGTAATGAAATGTTTATGCAGTTTAAGGTTCAAAAAACACATTATTTTCCACATACTGTACATTATTGTTTCTCCTCTATGCCCCGCCTTTTTGAAACGCGTCGATTTTTACAAAGTTCATCGGTCTGAAAAGCGAGGTGTGCTCTGATTGGCCAGCTATCCAGTGCATTGTGATTGGCCAAATACCTCAAGCGTGTGACGGAAATGTTACGGCCCTTACCATATTGTGATGATGCCCTGTCAGGCTGAAGCGATGATTCAAAAACATGAAAACCCATTATAAACAAGGCATTTGTTGCATCCAGTGGGGACATAATTACGGATTATAATGACTTATACTGAGTTTTTACGCATTGCATCGCGCCGCGTAAACATAAAACCATGTCTGCATTTGTGATCGGAGAAATGACAAACAACAAGCGCTACTCTACACTGCTCAAAACTTGCGTTTGAATCATCAGTGGCAAATTCTTTAAATATAAAAAAACGTACTTAGAATCTGGAAGTCAGAACAGCCGGCATTATAGTCTACTCTACCAGGATCAGGAAACAGTCCTCCATAAAATGTGCTGGACACATCTGAATATTTGGGTTGAACTGTTCTGGAACAGTGTTGTAAATACAACTTAACCACTAATTTCTACTCGTGTCCTCTTTTGGAAGGCCAAACATAGTAGTTTCGCTTTCACAACGAAACACACAGCGTCACACATGGCGGGCTAGAGTGAGCGGATGCCGGTGGCTTGAGAACGGCACGGCCGGCGGATTCGACGAAGGAGCGGCCGGAGGGCTTGCGGCAACCACATGTGATGACCCCGGGCTGGACTCCGCTTCCTCCACAGTGAAAGCCGATCCGGCGATCCACAGCGTGAAGTTGATGTTTATGATCAGCTCCAGGTATGACAAAGCGGATTATCGTCCTTTTTTTGGAAGGCCAAACAAAGTAGTTTCGCTTTCACAACGAAACACAGCGCCAAGGCGGCGGCGGCAACAACAATACTGAGAATAAAAGTTACACCTTCTTTCTTTGCGTGAACATTTGGGCGGCGTTATGCAAATCTTCCCACATCGTGACATAGATATGTGGGGGCGTGTTAGAACGAGCCGTTTTAGGTAGGTGTGGCTGACTCTTAACTCATAAAGAATATCTCTTTGGATTTGAGACTTTAGTCTTTGCAACTTTACAGATCTTCTTTATGCACTAAGAGCTTGTAACACTCCAAAGTGAAAGGACAAATTGAACCCCTATAAAACTCAAGGGAGACCTGAGGGAGACCATTTATCAACCTGAAATCACCACTTTTAAGAATGCTTTATTTAAGCTTTCTGAATGAGAAGCTGTCTTTTTAATGAACAATGCCATTCAGTACAGATTACTTCCCATTTTGTACAGCTAAAATCAGGTGAACTTATTCACTTCCCTCCTGCCACTGAATCAGAACATATACTTCCCATAAAGGAAATAAGGTACCATAGAAAAGTGGGCAGCTAAACCACCTATTATAGCAACAGCACTGATACACAACAATACACAAACTGATGACACTTTGCTCTCTCTTTCATACTTGCCTCAGCCGTTTTCTTATACTGAGCGACCTTCTGCTTATGAAGAGCATCCATATGCTGTTCTACCTGAAAAAAGCATAGCTTTTCAGTTCATTTCTTGTATTCATCATTATGCACTGTAGAAAATGAAATTTCTTTTTTTTTTTTTTTTTACTTTTAATAAGTCATTTGTAGGTTGATTCGTGCTATTTGTTTTGAGAATTACGACCAGCCAGCACAGCAACACAGGCTCAGTTGATGTTTATGATCAGCTCCAGGTATGACAAAGTGGATTATCGTCCTTTTTTTGGAAGGCCAAACAAAGTAGTTTCGCTTTCACAACGAAACACAGCGCCAAGGCGGCGGCGGCAACAACAATACTGAGAATAAAAGTTACACCTTCTTTCTTTGCGTGAACATTTGGGCGGCGTTATGCAAATCTTCCCACATCGTGACATAGATATGTGGGGGCGTGATAGAACGAGCCGTTTTAGGTAGGTGTGGCTGACTCTTAACTTATAAAGAATATCTCTTTGGATTTGAGACTTTAGTCTTTGCAACTTTACAGATCTTCTTTATGCACTAAGAGCTTGTAACACTCCAAAGTGAAAGGACAAATTGAACCCCTATAAAACTCAAGGGAGACAGTTTATTTATCAACCTGAAATCACCACTTTTAAGAATGCTTTATTTAAGCTTTCTGAATGAGAAGCTGTCTTTTTAATGAACAATGCCATTCAGTACAGATTACTTCCCATTTTGTACAGCTAAAATCAGGTGAACTTATTCACTTCCCTCCTGCCACTGAATCAGAACATATACTTCCCATAAAGGAAATAAGGTACCATAGAAAAGTGGGCAGCTAAACCACCTATTATAGCAACAGCACTGATACACAACAATACACAAACTGATGACACTTTGCTCTCTCTTTCATACTTGCCTCAGCCGTTTTCTTATACTGAGCGACCTTCTGCTTATGAAGAGCATCCATATGCTGTTCTACCTGAAAAAAAGCATAGCTTTTCAGTTCATTTCTTGTATTCATCATTATGCCCTGTAGAAAATGAAATTTCTTTTTTTTTTTTTTTTTACTTTTAATAAGTCATTTGTAGGTTGATTCGTGCTATTTGTTTTGAGAATTACGACCAGCCAGCACAGCAACACAGGCTCAACCAATGGTGTCAGTTTGGGGCGGGGCTATCTGTCTTTATGGCCAATAGCAGACAGGGGGAGTTTTGTTCCAAAAACTTACTGAATGTATTGCTAATATTTAATTTTACTACAGTAGATGATTTACCAGTGCAGATATTTTGGATATACTCTTCCCTGCAAGTTATTTTTGATGTCACAGAACAGTTCCAAAAGTGAAGTGTTTGAGATGGTGCGTGATTTTGTAGTGCCATCAGCCATTCAGTGTTGTCATTTCCTTGCAATTTGTCACATTTACACCTCAGATAATTGGGTACAAACACAACTGTGTCCAGAACTGAACACCCATGAGCAAAGATGGGAGATTTCAAATCACATACTTCCAAGACGTTCTGCGTCAGCTGCGCAACTACCATTGAATTGAATGCTAACCAATAACCAGGTATGAAAAGATTGAAAAGTCTTTCATTTTGGGGACATTGGCAACACAGAAAGACACGCTTCAATTTCAATCAGTAAATAACAAAGTATGAAATGCTGTTTGTATGTCTTACCTTCTTTCGGGCCTCTTTCTGTTTCTCTCTGAAGTCTTCAAATTTTTTTGCTTCCTCCCTCATGGTTTGGGCCAAATGCAGATGGGACAAACTCACACTTTCTGTTTCTAAACACACAATTTAACCATAAAATTGTAAACCACGATAAACTGCAATCATTAATCGTTTGCAGACAAGATTTACTTACGTAATTTGAAAACATCAAGCGATCGTTTCAGGGTGCTAAAAACAGAAAAACAAAAATGTTGATGAGTAACCGATGTGCATTTTGTGCAATAAAACCATTGTAAAATTGCTGACATCAGTCACTGGTATAGGACTCAGTTAAACGTTTTTTTCCCCCCCCTCACCCCATAGTAAGAGGAAAAGCACTAACCACAAACCAACTACAAACATGTGACCAACCCACATGGACTGTTTATGTGTGTACTTTGAAATGATCTCATACAGCATATCAATACCGCATTGTTCAAATGTTATCTTTTTAAAGGGGATCAGTATCCAACCAGAACAACACAATAACATGTCATATTCACTAAAGAACCTTCTTGCTAAAGAAATCAAAGAATTTAACCTCTATAAAGAAGACCACTGCAATAAAAATGTAAGTAATGCTTGCCCAAGTTGTTGTGGGCAGTTATACAGCCTTGCTACACATTTGCTAATGTGTTTTTAGAACACAGTAATTGTGGGTACTTGGTTATTGTTTACTGGCTCATCTCAAAACTGCCAGCCTACAAGTATCTGATATGGTTTAGGTTCCTCCTTTTATAGTCTGATTGCTTAAAATATTAATAGCAAACCTCTCAACTAGAGATCACACGATTTGATGTCCTTAGCACAAATGCTCAGTTTAACACTTAGGAGTTATAGGTTTACTGCTAATGAACCCCAAAAATAATAATAATAACGCACCATTAAATTCCTTTCAAGAAATAGCAATTTGTAAAATATAACCATAATGTTAACTGTAATCATACATCGGTACTGTCACGAATCCGGTCCATGAACTTCCATCTGCTAGCCATC